GAACCCAGTTTTAAACAAAGGGAAGAATCCAGATTATTCTCCTCTCTTTTGTAATCGGGAAATCCAATTGTAACTGAGATTAAAGGAATACAAATCAATTTTTCTTTCGTTTCTTTTACACCAAATTTTCAACCAACATTGATGAAGTCAACTACCTTCTTAAAGGTGGTTTTCATTAGGAAAGTGCAATACTCGGAGTGGCTATCCAATGTGATATTGGTGAATAAGTCCCTTTGCAAATGGAGGATGTGCGTGGAGTTTATAGATCTAAATAAAGTTTGTCCAAAGGACAACTATCCCCTGCCTAGGATCGATCAGCCTGTGGATGAGAGTGTGGGTTATGAGCTACTCAGTTTCATGGATGCTTTCTCTGGCTACATACAGATCCTTATGGCGACACATGATCAAGAGAAGACCTAATTCATCATAGACCAGGGGACTTATTGATATAGGGTGATGCCTTTCGGTCTTAAGAATGCAGACGCCACTTATCAGAGGCTAATCAATAAGATCTTCAAGCCACAGATTGGCCGTAACATAGAAGCCTACATGGACAACATCATTGTCAAGTCGATCTAGGCGTCATCTCACGTATCAGATCTTGAAGAGACCTTCTCTATCCTCGAACGTTAGGGCATGAAGCTAAACCTGGCGAAGTGCACTTTTAGGGTACAATCGGGCAAATTTCGTAGGTTTATGTCACTTAGCGAGGCATTAAAATCAACCCTAAGAATATAGCTATCATAGAGTAGCTACCTGAACCCCACACACTGAAGAACGTCTAGAGATTGAATGGAAAGATAGCAGCATTAGGTCGCTTTCTATCAAAATCTGCTATGAGAAGCCTCCCCTTCTTCAAAACTTTAAGTGGAAGCAAGGAACTGAAGGGAGGCATGGGCTAGACTAATGAATGCAGTGAGGCCTTTAGGGACCTCAAATAATATTTGAGCACTAAACCACTATTGAGCTAGCCCAGAGAGAGGGAGATCTTGTATCTCTACGTGGCCATCTCCCATGAAGCCATCGGCTTTGCCTTAGTTTAGGATGACGACAACACTTAGAAGCAGGTATACTATGTTAACCAGATCTTAAAGGTGGCAAAACCCAACTACACTCTTATTGAGAAAGCTTCCTTCATTCTCATCACCACAGCCAGGAGGCTTTTCCCTTATTTTCAAGCACATACCATAGTGGTACGAATGAGTTTGCCTTTGAAAATGACACTTCGCAGTCCGACCACTTCAGGGAGAATTATCACTAGTTTGTACAAGCTAAGGATGACCATGTTTCTATATCACCACCATAGCGTACCTCTATGGGACCTCGGTGAAAGTACATACATTATTTATAAAACTCCGTCAATAATTTAGTACCTATGGCCCATGTTAGGGGATCAATTTATAATTTGGTACGTTAACTGCATTTTTATTGAAGATCAATTCTCGACATTAGGGGGAGATTAGTGCCCAAAATACAAAATAATATTAAGAAATTCCATTGATGAAAAATATCTTTAATATTTATATCCACGTACTAGTCAAACTGAACCAGAAGTTCACATGATTATCTGCTAAGAAAAGAGTAACTAAGCCCCATACTCATGTTGAATATATCATTGATGATTTGGTATGCTAGAAACATATTGTGCAAGAAGCATATAAAACATGTTAGTGTAAAAGATAAAAGTCCGCGACAAACTAAATTATATATAGAAAGACAATCACTCCCATAACCTTCGGAAGAGGTTCATCCTGAAGATGGAATCTCCAGAAAAAGTTGCACGTGCTTGATAATCACAATACTGGAGATGCGAAACGGCCAAATCCAATTGTTAAGGGAAATGATAAGGATTTGGTTAACATAAAATAAGAATTAAAGTTGCCACGAATTTGTGAAAAAGGAGAAATATATAATAGAAATATAAAAGTTATCGACAACATAGTTACCTCTACAGTTGCTCTTACTATCTCCGAAAATAATCTGGATCCAGAACCTAAGTTGGTAGTAGAGTGCTTGAAGCACTCGGACTAGGTGAAATGGAAAGTGGCAATTGAGGCTGAGCTGAACTCGCTAAAGTATTATGAATCTGTAGTCCATATATCCCTGCTGGATATAAATGGGTCTTCGTAAGAAAAATGAGAATTATTAGGTGGTGAGATATATAGCGAGATTCATAGCTCAATGGGTTCACGCAGAGACCCGACATCGATTTAGATGTAAAATATTTTCCTATTAGTGATTGTATTACGTTCCGCAAGTTAATACCTATGGCAGAAACTATGAATTTATATATGCAGTATATGTACGTAATTACCATATTTTTATGTGTCATTAGACGCTAATATTTTATAAGAATGTCCCTAATAGACTTAAAATTCTTGAATTGAAAGAAAACGAGAATCACAATATGTATAGCATTAAATTATAAAGGTCGTTATACGACTTGAAACAGTCGGGTAGAATGTGATATAACCGACTGCGTATGTTCCTCGTAAAGAGGAGATATGCAAATAATGATGTCTGCCCTTGTGTATTTATAAAGAAATTCGAAAATGGCTTCTATATTATATCAGTCTATATTGATGATATAAATGTTATTGGAACGCACAAGGAGCTTACAGAAGCTAGCTCATGCCTAATGACGGAGTTTGAAATGAAAGACTTGGGAAAAACCAAGTTTTGTCTCGGCCTGCAGATCGAGCATTTTCCCAGAAGGATTTTTTCTACACCAGTCAACCTACGTGAAAAAGGTTTTGGAAAGATTTTATATTGATAAATCTCATCCACTTAGCACACCAATGGTCGTCCGGTCCCTCGAAGTGGATAAAGACCCATTTAGACCCAAAGAAGATAATGAAGAAATATTAGGGCCAGAAGTTCCCTGTCTGAGCGTCATTGGAGCACTTCTCTATCTTGCAAATTGCACCATGCCTGATATTGCATTTGAGGTGAACTTGCTAGCAAGGTATAGTGCTTCTCCTACAAGGAGGCATTGAAATGGCGTCAAACATTTCCTTCGCTATCTGCAAGGTACAAAAGATCTTGGACTATTCTATAAAAGAAACCAAGATATGACATTAGTGGACTATTAGAACGCTGGCTATATATCTGATTCCCATAACGCCAGATCCCAGACTTGTTATGTTTTTCTCTGTGGTGGTACTGTCGTTTCTTAGAGGTCTGTTAAGCAGACCATGGTGACTACTTCTTCTAACCACTCAGAGATTCTCGCTTTATATGAGGACTCACGAGAATGTGTATGATTAAGATCGTTGATACAACATATTTGTGGCTCATGTGGTCTAGCGAAAAATGATATTACCCCCACTATCCTTTATGAGGACAATGTAGCTTGTGTTACACAAATAAGCAGTGGATATGTAAAAGGAACTATGACAAAACATATTACGCCAAAATTCTTTTATCCACATGAGCTCCAAAAGAATGGCGAAATCACCATCGAAAAAGTTCGCTCAAGTGATAATCTTGCAAATTTGTTCACTAAATCTCTGCCTACATCAACTTATGAGAAATATGTTCACAATATGCATAGACTTGGATACTATCTTCTTCAGGGGGAGCAAATTCTTAAAGAACAATCCTGAAGATTGGGCCTTGAAGGTCTATTATCATATTTTGCCCCTTTTCGCTAAGTTTTATCCCACTGGGTTTTTCTTAGCATAGACTCAGAAGATTGTCATCATCAGGGGGAGCGAATTTTCAATGCAATCCCGAAGATTGCGCCTTGAAGGACTATAGTTGTACTCTTTTTTCCCTTTGCTAAGTTTTGTCCCACAGGGTTTTCTTAGCTAAAGGTTTTTAATGAGGCAACTAATGCAACACAAGTTTGGATCCCGAAGATCTATAGTTGTACTCTTTTTTTCTTTGCTATGTTTTTGTCCTACATGGTTTTTCTTAGCGAAAGGTTTTTAACGAGACAACTGATGTAACAGAAATAATGTATTTATGTCATGTACTCTTTTCCTCAACTAGTTTTTCCCACTAGGTTTTTTCTAGCGAAGTTTTTAACGAGGCATTGACATTTTGAAGTAATGTCCAAGGGGGAGTGTTGAAATCTAAAAGACATTTTGTTGATATCTAAAAGATATTTTGTTGATATCTAAAAGACAAATGTATGTGGACATTACTTTGTATGTGAACTATTAACTTCATGTCATTTTGTATTCCATCGTTATCTATAAATTGTACGATGTATGGAAATGGAAGGATGTGAATAAAATTACAATCTCTATTCTTCTCTTGTCTCTTGTCTCTTATTTTATTCTTTAGTATATTACAACAATTTTTATATTAATATCTATTGTAAATTATTTACTTTATAATATATAATTATTTTGATTATTATTTTACAACATATAATAGTATTATTTGTTGTACAATTTATTAAGATTAAATTGAATATATTCATATTTAATATTTTTAGATTTTGACAAGTTATTATTTTACTATTAAGTATTATTACATAACATGTAAAAGTTTTTAATAAATTTTTTTCATATGTTTTATAATAAATTATTCAAATATTAATAATATATTCTATTATTTAAATATTAATAGTTTAATACTATATTATTATTTACATTATATTATATTATATTATGTAAAGAATATATTATATTTATATTATATTACATTATATTATATTATATTATGTAACGAATATATTATTAACACACTATATTGAACGTCAAATTAACACCCTTTAGACTCAAAACACAAATACCAAAGTTGAAATACATTTTTAGTGTTTTGAGATACGTGTCATATTTTTTATTCTTAACATTATACAGCTCAGTAAAGCATTATGGTTTCTAAGCTTTTAACAAAAACACCATGAAAATACTAAAAATACAATCGCATCCAACCCTCCTCCCACACCCCCACACTCCCAACAAATCTCCAAAAATTATCTATCTTTTTTCCACTATCATTTCTCGTGCTCTGTCTTATTATCAACAACTTGCTTTGGCAACTCACCGTAATTTCTTCACTCCATCCAGCTCTCTTTACAGTATCGCGCAACGTGACTCTCCATCTCTCTCTCTCTCTCTCTCTCTCTCTCTCACAAAAGCTATCAATGGCCAACCAAAACCATCATCAATAACAAAAACCCCAGAAAAAAATACTGCTAAATGTACATGGACAAAATGAGAATTGTCTGCCTCTTCATCTTCATCCTCTTCTTTTCCACAGTGCTCTCTGAGGACTTCTTTGCTGCTCTTAACGACGAAGTCCTCGGCCTCATCGCCTTCAAATCCTCTGTCGAAGATCCAACCTCAGCTCTTTCCTCATGGACTGCCTCTGACGCAAGCCCGTGCTCGTGGCATCACGTCGAATGCGACCCTTCAACATCCCGCGTTGTTCGCCTCTCTCTCGAATCCCTCTCCCTTTCTGGTGGTCCTCCTCTCTTCCGTGGCCTCGACAAGCTTCAATCTCTTCAGTCTCTCTTCATCAGCAGCAACAATCTCTCTGGCTCTATGTCTACTGGACTCTCACTATTGCGTAGCCTCAGAGTTCTTGATTTTTCCAATAACCTCTTGTCTGGGTCCGTTCCTGATGATCTTGGTCGCATTCCTACACTCAGGTCACTCGATCTTAGCGGAAACTTGCTCTCTGGGCCGATTCCGGAGTCCCTGTTCTCTTCATCAGCTTGCTCTTCTCTTCGATTCCTTTCGATGTCGAACAACCAGTTTCTTGGACGTATTCCTTCCTCGATGTCGCAATGCAGGTTCTTGCTTCATTTGAATCTCTCGAACAATAGGCTTTCTGGGTCACCAGATTTTGCCAGAGTAATCTGGCCGTTGACAAGGCTGAGAGTTCTTGATTTGTCAAACAATTCACTGTCTGGACCAGTCCCTGAAGGGATTGCCAGTGTGCATAATCTGAAAGTTATTCACTTGAATGGAAATCGATTCGCAGGGCCAATTCCAATTGGCATTGGCCTCTGTCCTCATCTTTACAGCGTCGACCTTAGCAGAAACATGTTCGACGGAGCTATTCCTTATACAATGCGGTCGCTTTTCTCTTTGTCCTTCTTGAGTTTGTCAATGAACAAGTTCTCTGGCCATTTACCCTCTTGGATTGGCAATCTTAGCTCGCTCAAACACTTGGACTTGTCAGGCAACAAGCTTGTTGGTCCAATGCCTGATTCATTAAAGGGGCTAAAAGATTTGAACAATTTGAGTTTGGAAAATAATTTCCTCACTGGGATAATTCCCGAATCAATATCTGAATGTACTAAACTTAAAGAGATCCGGTTGAAGGCGAACCAGCTGAACGGGAGTATTCCACATAGCTTATTTGACCTAGAACTTGAATTTCTGGACTTGTCATCAAACAATCTCACTGGAGCAGTTCCTGCAGTTTCGAGCAAACTGGCAAGCAATGTTCGATGGCTTGATTTGTCTAACAATAGGCTAACGGGTGGAATTCCGTCAGAGATGGCACTGTTCTTCAATTTAAATTACCTGAATCTTTCATGGAATGGCCTATGGTCTCAGCTGCCTCCAGAGCTAGGATCCTTTAGGAACTTATCGGTATTGGATCTTCGCGATAACAAATTCTTTGGTGTTATACCAGGAGATCTTTGTGAATCTGGGAGCCTGTCAGTCCTTCAGTTGGATGGTAATTTATTGAATGGTCATATACCTAATGAGATTGGGAATTGCTCCTCTCTCTACTTGCTGTAAGTAGTAGCTGCATTCTTAGTCCTTTTATTGAGGTTCTATAATTCTTATTTCTTGATTTTGTATGCAGGAGCTTATCACATAATGAACTGAGCGGCCCGATTCCTGCAGAAATGTCCCAGCTGAAGAAGCTAGAAATCCTCAAGTTGGAGTTCAACAACTTGACGGGAGAAATCCCTCAACAGCTCGGAACACTTGAAAATCTACTTGCTGTCAACATTTCGCATAATCAGCTCATCGGTAGGCTCCCTATGGGTGGCATCTTCAAAAGCTTAGATCGAACTGCAATTGGAGGAAATTTAGGCATCTGCTCTCCCCTCGTCGCTGAGCCCTGTAGGATGAATGTCCCAAAACCATTAGTCCTTGATCCGAATGCTTACATCAACGGTGATAATAACAACATAGTTAACACGAATCGCCCGATGTCACCTAGGCATAGGAGGTTCTTTAGTGTGTCGACCATTGTTGCGATTTCCGCTGCTTTGTTGATAGTCTTCGGGGTTTTAGTTGTGAGTCTGCTCAATATTTCTGCCCGACGAAGGATTGGGCTATTGGAGAATGCACTAGAAAGCATCTGCTCAAGCTCGACGAAATCAAGCAGTCCTGCAATTGGTAAGACTGTGTTGTTTGGCTCCAGAAGCAATCTGAAGTCAGAAGATTTGGTCAGTGCTGAATCGTTACTTAACAAAGCAGTCGAAATTGGAAGAGGCGCATTTGGGACTGTCTACAAATCATTGATAGCTGAAGGAAGGATCGTTGCAATCAAGAAGTTGTTAACCCCGAACATAGTTCCTTACCACGAAGATTTTGATAGAGAAGTTCGAGTTCTAGCAAAAGCAAGGCATCCCAATGTCATGCCGGTCAAAGGCTACTACTGGACTCCTCAACTCCAGCTACTACTATCAGATTATGCCCACAATGGAAGTCTACAATCAAGACTGTACAAGTCAGATAATCCTCTTCCATGGCCTAATCGGTTCAAAATCGTGCTAGGAATGGCAAAAGGGCTAGCTTACCTTCACCAATCCTTCCGTCCTTCGATCATACACTACAATGTCAAGCCAAGCAACATCCTTCTTGATTCAAATGACAATCCAATGGTTTCAGACTTCGGGCTAGCCAAATTGTTACCGAAGCTTGACAAGCACATAATGAGCAGTCGATTTCAGACTGCAGTTGGCTACGTCGCGCCCGAGCTAGCATGCCAAAGCCTGAGAATCAACGAGAAATGTGATGTTTATGCATACGGTGTAGTTGTTCTTGAATTGGTGACTGGAAAGAAACCTGTAGTCTATGGGGAGGATGATGTTGTGATATTGATCGATATGGTGAGATTGATGCTGGAGCAAGGGAATGTGTTGGATTGCGTCGATGAAATGATGGGGGACTTTCCGGAGGAGGAAGTGCTGCCGGTGCTGAAGCTGGGGTTGGTGTGCGCGTCACAGATACCATCGAGTAGGCCCACGATGGCTGAGGTTGTGCAGATATTGCAGGTTATTAAGACTCCTGTGGCTTTGGAGGGAATGGAAGGATTTTGATTCTTGATTAGTTTTCGGCGGTGTAGTACTGTTTGTTTCTTTTATTTGGCTTGAAATTGTATGAATTGTTGCTTAGCTTGGTGGCTATGGGGCACCTGTGGCTTGATGCATATCTCTTTGTTGCTGGTTAGATGGCTTCCATTACTCAATAACTCCTGCTCTGTTCATTTTTTGGAGCAATATCCCTAGATTTTCTTTCTTTTAAAACTTTAGTGTGTGTGATCTAGTTTTAAACTGTAGATCAAGCTTATTCATATGTCATTACTGCATAGTGACTCCTACTATAAAGGTTCACAGGCAGCAAAATTTTTTCTAGAATTTGCTGGCAAATGCACCTAAACATAAATCAACAAGTATAACTTGAGTGGCATTGATCTAGAACATAGCTGAATTACTCCTTATCATAAGACCATCACACAAGTCAACAAGTATCCAATTGAGGATAATACTGGCCGAATCGAACAGTCTGTGTTATAATTCAGTGTGACGCCCCTGGTTTCACACGAGGCTGCAGTTTAAGGTGAACTAAAGGATGTCAAATGTGTTATGCACCCAACACTATGCAATAACATGTTTCACCATCACAGTAATATCTCTCTAGTGGAATTAAATAAAAACAGTGCAGGTACAAGCAAATATAACAAAGGAAAGAATATAAGGGTCACAATGTGAAGAAGATATATCATAAATAACTGAAATCATGTTCCAACAAAGAAATAAAATGCATCGGATAATCTGAAATAAGAATAATACATCTCTGAAGACAAGAGTCAACTGAATACAGTATTAAGGCACTCAGCCCCCAACATGAAATACACCTTTAAAAAAAACTAAACTCATAAATGTTCACTGTGGAGTACTAACTCTCTACTAAATAAAATACGGTGAGCGAAGTTGAGTTTCCATCAACCTACGACTCTCCGTGCCCCTGACTCGCTGCCTAAAAGAAATAGAATCAAAGAGCGTCAAAGCGTTAGCGGGATCATCTCCATCGCCCCCAGGAGGAAGGGGGTTAGGACTATAATAATATAAGTTAGTATATATAGACATATAGATCATCTATCCTGAACTAAGAGGAACTAAGATTTAGAAATCCACAACACGAAATTTAGTATGTCGAGCGAAATAATCCAAATAAGAAAACGCTCATGTATATACCATGACTCAAATTGCGAATCGCTTAATCCCAACTCCAAGATCCTATGAATACAATAAACAACAAGAATAAAATACAATATCAAACCTCATCCAAACAAGTCGTGTCAAAATACCTCACACTACTCTTGGGTAAGTGGCACAGTAACAAGGATCAAAATTTGGTAAAAGAATCTCTCATAGTATACATCGTGTATGACAACCTCAGTCTTATACCCCACAGTCGGGGTAGATATCATGGAAGCATAAATACAAAACTATGTGATTCTCTATACAAAAAATAATGATGCTGAGTAAGGCGCCTACAATATCTGTAGCTCACTACCTTACTCAATCGCCCTGCGAAAATAGGCATATGAACCTATTCTGAAAATAATGATGCATAACAGAGTGAAGTCTACTATGGTCTCATTGTAGTATACCAACTAACGCACTCTGAGTATAGTCCATCTGCGGTCTCATTGCGGGATACCAACTAACCCCACTCAAGCATCCAATCTATCATGAAATGCATTATACGTCACCCTCTATCATGACAAACTCAAAATGTTTAATCATGCACCTCTAAACTCTCGTACGAACGCAGACCCAATATGTGTATTCTAGTGGCCAAGCACGTGTATCGATGTGTGGGCTAGTACTTCGTGTTCACGATTGACTCATTTGGCAAAAACAACCTACACAACATAACTCAGATCAGTCGACCGACAATAGCCCTTCGGTCGACTGGCAGCAACGTACATAAACGTGCACACACAAATCATCTCCATCAGTCAACCGATTTTTTATGTCGGTCAACCGACCAACCACAATCAGTCGAGCGATAATCAATATCGATCGACCGATCAGAACCAAATTCTCAGTTTTCTGACATGAGTTGGTTTCAGTCGAAATCCATCAAAAATAAAAAAATTTCAAGAAAACTAATGTCTAAAACTTGATTTAATGTACTTAGGGTTTATTCTGCTATATAAAAATGCAAATATAAGTATTTAAAGGAAAATTACTAACCCTAACATGATTATACTTGTAAAATCATCATGGAAATGATAACTTAGAAAAATTCTCATGTTAGATCACGTTCAAAACTTAAACCCAAATCAGAGAATCCATTTTATATCTATTTAAATAAAAAAGATCAAATTATTACATCATATATATTCAAAAGTGTGATCTTTATTCAAAAATAGATTTTGGAAATCCAATAAAACCAAATAAAAATGGGATGGGATTGGAGAAGATGAAACTCACCTCAAAATTCGTGTTGAATGCCCATGAATGCAAGTGCCACGATTCTCCTTCACCAACAGTCACGTATCTCGCCCTCCTCTTTATTTTTGCTTCTCAAAGCTCTCAAAACTCACAAAATAAGTTCTAGGGTTTTGAGGGGAGAGGGTGGCTAATGTCCACGTGAAATATGAAGAAAAATGGAAATTTCAGATATATATACTCTTATATATGCAAACAAACACGAACCGAAACAAATCCTGACCCAAAACAGAATCCTACCCGAAAATGGGTAGTCATCGGTCGACCGGTTGTGAAAATTGGTCGATCGATAACTACACATAAGTCGACCGGTCGTTCTCATCGGTCGATCGACCAGAACGAAAATCCAACTTACAGGTTTTGATATATTTTGTGCATGATACTCACATATATGTACGTATTAGATCTCAAATCAATTTCAAACATGCTAATTCATCCCAAAATAGTTTCAAACATAATAAAACTCATATTTTATCATTTTAAAATAATTTTTCAAAATTTTATGGGGTTTTACATTCTCCCCGAAAGGTGTCCAAGGGTGCCCTAGTAGTGGTACATAGAAAATGCAAGGGTCTCTCTACATCTCTAATGGGAAGATCGACCGCTTGCTTGCCGTAGGACTAGCATCATCATTATCATCTGTCGACTGCATGACTTGGCATCGACGACTTGGCTACATAAGCGAGAAGGGGGTACAGATTATGGTCACGGGAGAGAGGATTTTGGGTCTGAACAAGATTAATCTAACTTTTTGTGGGGACTGCATCCTAGGCAAACAAAAGAAGGTGAGCTTCAACAAGACCGAATCAGCTTTAAAACTGAAAAAATTAGAGTTAGTGCACACCGACGTGTGGGGACCTACGTTAGTCTTATCTGTTGGAAACTCCCTTTGCTTTTTCACTTTTATTGATGATGCTACTAGAAAACTGTGGGTGTTCTTCTTGAAGCACAAGTTAGATATTTTTATCATTTACAAGAAGTGACTTGCTTGTGTGGAGGGCGAAATAGGCAATAAGCTGAAGTGCCTAAAGTCTAATAATGGAGGCGAGTATTGTAGCCAAGAGTTTGAGAACTTCTACTCATCCCATGGGATTAGGAGACTAAAGACCATCCCAAGTACACCTCAGAACAACGGAGTGGCGGAGCGTATGAATCACACTATCTTGGAGCGCGCCAGAAGTATGAGGATCCATTCCGGATTACCCAAGAGTTTTTGGGCCGAAGCTGTCAATACTGCTGCAAACTTAATCAACCGCGGGCTATCCGTGGCTCTCAGTTATGGGATACTTAAGGAGGCTTCGACTAGAAAGAAGCTGAAGCTAGATCACTTATGAGTATTTGGTTATGACGCCTATGTCATGACAAATTCTACAGACTGGTCAAAGCTTGATCGAAAGTCAAAGAAGCTCTCTTTCATCGGCTATGGAGAATATGAGTATGTGTACCGTTTCTAGGATCATGACGTGCGCTAGGTGTTGCATAGTCGTGACGTCGTGTTCCATGAGAATGCGGTGTACAAGACCAAAGAGGTGAGTGAGAGTCTGTTAGACCCTAGAGGGGGGTGATTAGAGTCTTATGCTAATCTAATCCTAATTAAATGCCAATTAAAATTATATTGATTAATTTGTTCTTGCACGAAATATATGAAATGGATATGAACAAGAATGATATGAATAAGCACTAATAAAATATATGCTAGGCAAAACACAAACACGCGAAATGTTTACGAGATTCGGTCACCACGACCTACGTCCCCGCTCCTCACCTCGAGGAGATCTCCACTATCACAATCCGGTTTGGAAGCCGGAACTTCTACACATTCGGTTTACAAGTTTACCGAAAACTCTCACACAACAAATACTATGTAATCACACTTTACACACTAAGTGTAGGAACCTAGCATGTGTCCTCCTTCTCAAGTTCTCGGATACAACCTCTTCCTAGGTTCGTCAACCGACGCCACTCCTATTAGATTCGACCCCGTCTCACGCCTCACACTTCTCTCGGTGTACAAGTGTATTACAAGTGATACTCACAATAATGGTTAGATACAATGATTTGTTCTCGATAATAAATGAGAACACAATGAAGCTTACTCTCACTAAATCACACACCACTACCCAACAATATATAGTATGGAAATATTATAAGCTCAATATAGTGTGTGTGATAACAGTGAGTAGACAATATGCAACTCAATTAAATATAGCTAAGTTATGAAAATTAATCAATAAGCTATATAAGAAAGAGTTTAGAAAACTTCTCAATAAACAAGAAGAACAGTTGATAATGATGAGGATAGGATCCTCAGTTGGAATTGAAAGCCTCTTTTTGTTGTAGAAAACATCTTTTGAAACAGACAACCAAAAATCAGCTTAAACAGCTCTTAATCTTTTGTTAAAAACTCACTGTAAAACAAACTCTTGGTTATTAAAAGAGAAGAGCAATGGGGTATTTATATCCACTCAAGACATCAGCCAAAACAACAAAGAAAAGACCAAAATAACCCCAGAGAATCAAATCAAAATATAGCCGTTACAAAACAATGATGAGTTCGGCGGTCGACCGTGAGAAAATGGCGGTCGACTACGAAGCACAAAAAGCTGGCGAATAGTGGCGGTCGACCATGGCGGTCGACCATGGCGGTCGACCGTGGCGGTCGACCGTAAAAGTCTCTGGATTGAGCCACGATCGACCACCGCGGTCGACCGCGATCCAATAAAGGGCATAATTGAAAAAGAAT